GAAGAAGACAACAAAGTCAAAGCTCCTACATCCAAAGCCTCCAAGAAAAATATGAATCAGTCCCAGGCCTTGGAAGAGCTCAAAAGGGATTTTGAGAAACAAGTAAGGGAAGTAGAGGAAAAACTGAGAAGAGAAATGAGAGTGATGCAAGAAAATCATGAAAAATAAGTCAACAGCTTGCTAAAGGAGACCCAAAAAAATACTGAAGAAAATAACAGCTTAAAAAATAGCCTAACCCAAATGGCAAAAAAGGTCCAAAAAGCCAATGAGGAGAAAAATGCCCTAAAAAGAAAAATTGGCCAAATGGAAAAGGAAGTCCAAAAGCTTACTGAAGAAAATACTTCCTTAAAAATTAGAATAGAGCAATTGGAAGACAGTGACTTTATGAGAAATCAAGACACTGTAAAACAAATCCAAAAGAATGAAAAATTAGAAAACAATGTGAAATATCTCATTGGAAAAACAACTGACCTGGAAAATAGATCCAGGAGAGAGAATTTAAAAATTATTGGACTATCTGAAAGCCATGATCAAAAAAGAGCCTAGACATCATCTTTCAAGAAATTATCAAGGAAAACTGCCCTGATATATTAGAACCAGAGGGCAAAATAGAAATTGAAAGAATCCACAGATCTCCTCCTGAAAGAGATCCCCAAAGGAAAACTCCTAGGAATATTATAGCCAAATTCCAGAGTTCCAGGTCAAGGAGAAAATATTACAAGCTGCCAGAAGGAAACAATTCAAGTACTGTGGAAACACAATCAGGATAACACAAGATTTAGCAGCTTCTACATTAAAGGACCACAGGGCATGGAATATAATATTCTGGAGGGCAAAGGGGATAAGATTAAACTCAAGAATCACCTACCCAGAAAAACTGAGTATACTCCTTCATGGGAAAAAAAATGGTCATTCAGTGAAATAGAGGACTTTGAAGCATTCCTGATGAAAAGACCAGAGCTGAATAGAAAAGTTGACTTTCAAATACAAGACTCAAGTGGAACATGAAGAGGTAAACAGGAAAGAGAAATTGTAAGAGACTTATTAAGATTGAACTGTTTGCATTCCTGCATGGAAAGATGATATTTGTAACTCATGAGACCTTTGTCAGTATTAGGGTAGATGAAGGAAAAAAAATTATATGTATGTATGTATATATAGATAGATACATAGAAGGCCCAGGGTGAGTTGAAGATTAAGGGGTCATATCTGGAGAATAAAATTAAGGGATGAGAGAGGATGATACTTGGAGAAGAAGAAAGGGAGAGGTAGAATGGGGTAAATTATCTCACAAAAAAAACAGAAAAGAAAAGTCTCTTACAGTGGAGGGGAAGCAGGGGAAGGTGAGAGGGAATGAGGGAATCTTATTCTCATAGGATTTGGCTTAAGGAGGGAATAACATACACATTCAATTGGGTATGGAAATCTGTCTTACCCTACAGGAAAATAGGGGGAGAAGGGGACAAGAGAGCAGGGGGATGATAGAGACTAGGGCAGATTGGGAAAGGGGTAATCAGAAGGAAATACTTCTGAGGAGGGACAGGGTCAAAAGAAAGAATAGAATAAATGGGAGGGCAGGATAGGATTAAGGGAAATAGAGTTAGTTTTTCACAACATGTCTACTATGGAAGTGTTTTGCATAACTGCACATGTATAACCTATATTGAGTTGTTTGCCTTTTCAATGAGGGTGGATGGGGAGGGAGGAAGAGAAAAAATTTGAAACCTAAAGTTTTAAAAACATATGTTTAAAGAAAATGTTTTCACATGCTACTGAGAAATAAGAAATACAGGAGATGGCATATAGAAGTCTATCCTGCCCTACAGGAAAATAGAAGGGGAAGGGGATAAGAGAAGGGGGGAGAGATAGAAGAGAAGGCAGACCAGGGGAAGGGATATTCAGAATGCATGCCATCTTGGGGTGGAGGGAGGGGTGAGAAATTTGGAACTCAAAAACTTGTGGAAGTGAATGTTGAAAACTAAAAATAAATAAATTTATATTAAAAATAAATAAATAAGTAAGTGAATGAATAAACAAACAAACAAACAAATAAATAAATAAATAATAAATAGATGGAGTCCTTCTAAAAATAAAAAAAAAGGAACAGTGGGAAGATCCCCAAGGAGGAAGTCTTCAAACTACCACTATAACACCATGGAATAAAGACCTATTCAGACTACAGCTATAGCTCGAATGAATAAATAATTTTGTTACTTGAGTGTTCATCTGGTAACACAGAAGATGTCTGCTCCATGCCTTCTCCCCAGTGTAATTTTTATCCTGGACTTGCTATTACTTTTCCGTGGAGTTTCTATTCAAAGTATAGAGGTGTCTCTATATGTTTTATATTTCATACTTAAAAGCTTTCATTTCTAGATTTCAAAGTGGTTTTCACCATCACAATAGCTACATAAAACAAATCACAATTATTAGTTACTAGTAGCTGAGTAGTCCCAGAGAAAAAGGACTTTGTGAACGAATTAAAACTCAATATTTCTGACTCCTGGCTGGATCTCTCAAATATTAGACATCACCATTTAATTCAAACTATTCATTCAAAGATTTTTAAGTCTTAAAGCACTCTATAAATATAAGTTGTTGTTGTTGTTGTTGTTAATGTTAAAACAGTTATTAAGCACTTATTATATGCCACACACTGTACTAAGCACCAGGGAAAAACATACAGAAGCAAAGACAATTACTGTAATGGAAGAACTTATATTCTAGTAGAGGAAGACCACTTATAGAAGAGAGGTGGCCAGGGAATCAGAGGAGAGTAGAATAAGGCACCACCCTTTCTAGGAGTAATAGAAGCATTGATTAGATTGTGGATCCAAAACTGGAAAACTCTTGGAGGTAGGGGATGGACAGGGAAGATAGAGAGCCTCTGGTAAATAGATGGCTAGGGAATAAAGTAAGAGATGACTGGGGCCCACCAAAATTAATGGGCCCTGTTAGTATTCACAACCAGACTGTGGGTGCCCCAAGGCAGGAATTATGGAGATGAAAGGCTTAAGTCTTCCGAGCAGCATTTCTCTCTGGTCAAGGAGGGAAACAGCTACTGTGAGATGATGGCTGGGAAAAGAGGCCTAATCTATAACCTTTTGTCTATGACCTTTTGAGTTGTGAAGACTAGGTTGTTTTTTCCTTGTTCAGAACACTTAGTTGAAAGAGTCAAAGTAAAGGAAATTTATGTATCAGGAAATTCAGAGAACAAAGAAAGAAATTGTCTCCTTTACTATTTTCTTATGATATATGCCCTCCCTTCCTCACCTTGCAATTACCTCATTCCCTTCACCTAAATCTGAAGTAAATATATTATTTTAAGTGAAACTAATTTTCTCCAAAAAATTATAGGTACATAATGTGTTTTTTAAAAATTCTGTTAGAAAAAGACATCTTTATTCCCTGCTTCCTGTATTCATCATTAGTTCTGAAAGTAGTATAAAATTGCATTAAAAATTTCTGATTTAATGAGAGTAGATAAAGTACTTGTGGACAAGGAAGAATGGGAAAAAGAAAACTACAAAGCAGACTTATGATATAAAAAAAATTAGTCTTGAGTCTCTCTCAATCCCTGTATGTGGCAAGGATAATATTGGAAAGGAGTTGAGAAACTTGGTTTTGAGTCTCAAGTCTGTAACTTATTAGCTATGTGTAACGTTGGATAAATCCCTTCCCTCTGCTGAATCATACTTTCCCTGTCTGTAAAATGGAAGCAGTAATTCACTCCTTGCCTGTTTCTAAATATTGTCATAATGATTAAATGAGACAGGTAAGGGAAAAAGCTCTTTAAATTTTAAAATACTATAAAAATATGAAATTTTGAGGTAAAGTAGTAAAAAAAATAATGAACAAGAACTTAGAAGACCAAGACATTACCAATTGTTACTGGTAAAATTTTGAAGAAATCACTTTTCTTCTCTGGGCCTCAGTTCCCTCATCTAGAAAATGAGGGAGCTAGACAACCAATCTTTAAGTTCCTCTTCAATGATGACATTCTATGATTCTGTGGTTCTTTTCTGTCCTTAGATAGAATGGGATAAGGTATGATGTTAATTATGTCAGTCAGTCAACAAGCATCTATTAAAATGTTTTATCTTCTAGGCACTGTGCTAAGCACTTGGAATTCTAAGAAAGGCAAAAAAAGAAAAAAAAGGCAGACCCTTCCCTCATGGAAAATAAATTCTAAGGAAAGAACATACAAATAATTAGATATGCAGAAGATATATACAGAGCAGATGAAGATAATCTGAAAGGGGAAGGCTTTAAAAGCAAATGTTCCTATTAGTGAGGTGACCCTCTTCTTCTTACATTTATGAACCCTGGGTAGCCATATTCTTTGAGTCTTTTGGCAACCAAATTAAGCAGACGTTTTCTTTCTTCTATATGGAAATGTATGATCTTGGAATATTACATTACACATAAACCAACAATTCTCAGGAACAGCAAATGGAGAAAAGCTGTCTTAGAAGTCGAGAACAACCTCTGTGGCCAAAGAGACTCATGTATACCAAGAACTCAATAAGTTGCATTTGGCAAGGTAAGCCCCGAAATGACAACTTCATATAAACTAAAATATTGTAATATGGCATTCATGCAAATAAGCCCAAATCGTCTTGTGTTTCATAATTCTGTCCAAGCAAGTTCTGCTGGTTTCAGGTTTTGCCACAGATATTTCATAATATTTTGCATAATAGCATTCTAACACAAAATCAAACCAGATGATGTAAAAAATAAATCTGGTAGGGCTAAGTATTGATACTGATTTATTTTTATCCTTAGATAAAGGTACAGATAAAGTGATCTGGGTTAATTATGCTAGGAAAATAGTCCAGAGAAACATAGAAAAGGAAATTCCAGTGAAATTGTGAATCTTGTGTTTTCTTGGAAAGAGATATTGTTTGCTAGTAAAATCAATAGACATTTTATAGGTTTGACAAGTCAACGTGTTATGAAGCCCTCAAAAATGAAATCACTTTATGGTTTTTAATGCCAACCTGCTCCATTGAAGATCTGTGAAGAAGAATTATATTTTCCTGAGCATCTCTTTCAAACTGTTCGATATAAGAAGGAATCATTCCATTTTCAACTTCTTTGTGGAACTCACGGCTCTTACAGGTGCTCTCAGGTCTTTCAGAGAACAGAATATCTTCCTTTATGACACCAGCTATTTAAAAAAGAAGCCCACATGATTATCCACTTACCTCCACGAGCTTTCAAAGGGGGTAGGAAACAACAAAAGTCAACATACCTCTGTTATCTTCAAATGACCCAAGTTCAATTTCTTATAATCAATAATTCAGTAAATGGCTTTGTGGTTCAATGTGCACTTGAAAGTAGAACTATCTCCAGAGTAAGTTTTTAGCTAAAAAGGTTTATCTTGAAAAATAAAAGGATTTCGCAAGGTTAGCTGAAAAGGAGGAGTAGGAGGGAGAGGGAGAGTCAACCCTATTAATCCTGGAAAAGCCTGAAAACTAAGCAAAGTACAAGCAAGCATTAAAAACTCATTCTTGTTTATCAGAGGTACCTTAAAGTGTGAATTCAATGCTTTTCCACTTTAATATTGCATGCTGTTTACCAGAATGGCTCCCCACTTACCTGCTATGTTGCTGAAACCAGCTTGAGAGATAAATAGGTGCAGTAGAAGATGGAGCTTCTTTGGCCCATTTTCCCAAATTAGAATCACTAAGACCTGACAGCTACCAGAATATCCCCTATACAGAAGCACTTTATTTTGGCTGCCTCATTTATTTGCATAGAAATGTCTGTGTTTATATAAATGATGTGTTTGCTTTACCTTGGACAAGACTGCTCTTTCTCGGTCATTTACAAACAGCACCATCTACAAAAAAGTATCTATTCATCTATCCAAATGTACACAGTAAATATGAAACAATCCTCTGTCCCATTTTCTAAGAGAAACTGGAGAATGAAAAATGAAAAGATGGAATTTCTCGTTTATGTTGCCCATGCTGTTAAAGCTGGAATTTCAGTGCACCTTATGTAACATGGTAACTTTTGCTCCCCCCAAAAAATGAACTTTTCTTTTCATAAGGGAGCCAGGGTCATGTAATGGGAAGCATAGTATTGGCCTGGAGTACAATAGATCTGGGTTATAACCCCTTTTTATCAAGGACCTCAGTTTCCTCATTATTAAAATGCAAGGATGGGCTAGGATCATAGGATTTCAGATTGGAAGATTTGTAACTTCTCTAGTCCATGTTCCTCATTTTGCATATGAGAAAACCTCACCTCTTCCAAACTTCCCTTTTACTGTCAAGACTATCACCATCCTACAAATTACCCATGTTCAAAATCTAGGTGTCATCCTTGACCTGTCTCTCCTACTCATTCTACATCTGCAATCTGATATCATGTCTTATCATTTTAACTTCACAATCTCTCTCATATATACCCCCTTCTCCCCACAGCCTCCATCTTGATGCAGGTCCTCATGCCTGGGCTCTTGCAACAGCTTTTTGGGCCTCCCTGCCTCAAGTTTCTCCCTACTTCAGTCTATCTTCTACTTAGCTATCAAGGTGACCTTCCCAGTCTTCCTAGTCTACCTTCTACTCAGGTACCAAAGTGATCCTCTGTGTTACCTCCCCTATTCAATAATCTCCAATGGCTCCATAACAAATATAAAATCCTTTTTCTGGTTTTTAAAGCATTTTACAACCTGGCTGCTTCTTGCCTTTGTTTTCTTAAACTTTATTCCTTTCCATATATTCTCCATTCCAGCAATACTGGATTTCTTGCTGTTCCTCAAAGAAGGCACTCCATATCCCAGTCATACTCCTTCTCACTGGCTGTCTGCCATCTTTCAAATCCCCTTCACCTCCAATTGTAGCTTCCTTCACTATTCTCCTCAAGTTCTTCCTTCTGCAAGAGGCCATATCCAATCCCAAAACACTGGTGATTTCCTCTGGTGATTGTGTCCCATTTACACTGTAAATATCTTCTGTGTGTATAGTCATTTTCTCCTTCATTAGAATAGGAGCTCTTTTAGAGAAGTGACCATGTGTTTTGTTTTGGTTTGGTTTTTTGTATCCTCCAGGCTTAGCATGGTACACATCCTGCTTAATAAAATTTAGTTGAAGTGCCTATCAATATTTCTTATAGAAATGTAATAGATGAAAAAATAGCCTTAAAAAGGTATGAAAACAATTAAAAAGGAAATCTAACTCTGAGGCACTGCCATGATATAATTGTTATACTTTGATAGATCTGTGCTTCTATTAATGTAACATATCAACAGAATTAATATTGCATTTCACAAATTACTGAATTCCACACAATATCGTTAAATAGATTTGAAACTGGTTAAATGGCCAGAGCAAAAGTGGAGACACTAGTGATTCAATGTCAATATGGAAGGAGTTCTCTGGACAGATGCCAGAAGGATATGAACTGGATCCTGTGCTGCTGCACATGCTTATCAATGTCTTAGATAAAGTGATAGGTGGAATGCTTATGAAATTTACATATGAAACAAAGGTGGATAGCTTACTTTTTGTATGAAAGAGTCTCCAGAAACCAAAAGCATCTATTTCGGAATAGTCTAGAACACTGAAGTGTTCTAGAAATGAAGTGTAATAGGGATAGATGTTGTCATACTGAGGTTCAAAAGGTCTAATTCACAAATACAAAATGGGGTAGTCATAAAAGAAAGCAATCCTTCTGAAGAAAATATGGAGAATTAATAGTGTAATTAATGTTACAGCTAAGCCAGCTAGTGAAATCTTAGGCTGCATTAAGAGAAAGGCAGATTGTATTCTGCCACAGTCATACGTAGTCAGCGTGTAGTACTGTGTATAAATATGTGTGTGTATAGTTCTGGGCACTATATCTTAGGAAGGACATTAATAAGTTAGATAGTATCCAAAAGTGGGCAACTAGTACTGAGACTTTAGATCATGTTATATGAGGATTGGTTAAAGGAACTAGGAATATTTAACCTATAGAAAAGAAATCTTATACAGGGAGTCTTAACCCCACAATGGGTCCACAGATAGATCTCAGGGGCTCTGAAACTCTGAATGCATAATATTGTGATACTTGCATGTCAGTGTAATTGGTTTCTCTTGCAAATCTGTGCATTCTTTCTTATGCACTTAAAAACATTATTCTGAAAAAGAATTCATAAGCCACATCAGACTGCAAAGAGGGCCCAGGATTTAAAAAGGGGTAAGAACCACTGACTTAGAAAGATATGATAGCTGTCTTCAAGTATGAAAAGGATACGGAAAAGAAATAAGACTTGTTCTGTTTGGCCCCAGAAAGCACAATCAAGGGATATTTTAATTTTTAGAAATTTCTAATAATTTGAGTTATCTAAAAATTTATGAAGGTTTCTTTAGGATTGATGAGATTTCATCCTCTCCCCAGAGTTTTTTTAAGCAAAGGTTAGCAAATCACTTATCAAATTAGCTGCATGAGGAAGGATTTTTCATGTATGTGTTTTTAAAAAAAACAGCCTCTGGGCTCACTTCTAACTCTGAGATTTTGTGATCGTTCATGTTTTATAATATTCCACTAACAACCAATCTACTGAGTTGTCCTGAATACCCTCAGGATGCAAAACTAGCAGTCATGGGTCAAAGTTGCAGAGGAAGATGCTGATTTTGTATAGGGAAACATTCCTAATGCTTGGAATTGTCTAATTATACCAAGGACTGACTCAAAAAGTTCCAGATCATTGATAGTCCTAAGAAAAAAGCTGAATAACAACTGTCAAGTATGATGTAGGAAAAATTCCTATTTATGTATGAGCTTAACTCCATCACCTCTCAAGTTCCATCTGTTTAAGAGTCTCTGTGTTTTGCTCTAAAGGGTGTAGCATTTTAGTCAGTTATGGAAACTTGTTCGATAATGATTAAATAATGATTCACATTTTTCTTCTTTAATCTTCAGTTCTGATATGAAATATTTTGAAGGATTTTGCTTTTAAAATGGAAAGAAAATGAGGTTTAAAGATGTTACTGAAATAGCTAAAGTATGTCATCAGTGGATGTTTCTGCAACAAGTATAGATAATTGAGTAAAATCATATAGTTCAATTTTTCTCACATGATAAAAGATGTTGAAAACAAGTGGGTATGTACCTTGGAGATCCTCTTTGTTATCTTCATCTAGAAGCTTCATTAATTCATCATATAGAAGTTTCTCGTCCATCTGTACCAGAACTTTAAAAAAAAAGATTGGTGTCAACTATTCCCTTAATAATATGGTTCACATTTATAGCAATATAAATCTTAATTCTAAACAGTTAATAATCAATCACTTATTTTTACTGTGAATTATGATTCATAAAACTTCAAAATTACAACCCTCAATTTTCTATCATGTCATTAGTTTTGGTAAATTAAAGACAGTGGCAGCATTAGAAGGATTTTAAAAGGTATCTACAATGGCATGCTTAGTATTCTAATCATATATTCTCCCCTGAAAAATGGATCCTATTGTTAGCAAACTGAGATAAAGAGATGATAGATAGATAATGATAGACAGATATGAAAATATTCATTTCATATTAATCATATGTCAGTTGCAATTTCTTAAGTAATGAAACAGATCATGATAGAATGATTAAAAACAGCAGGATTACTGATAGAAATGACCTTGGGACAAGTTACTATCCTGCTATTCATACACATACACACACATATACATACACGTGTGTGTGTGTATATTCACACATATGTAATAGTTCATGGGACTGTTGCAGAGATGAGTAAAGTCACTTTTTTAATAATATAATAAAAGTATTGGAATATAAATCAACTTTCTGTAGGCTTACTGAAAGCATCTTTGAAATTGCTTTGAAAAATATATTCTCATTTTCATCTCTTAAATGGAGCTCATATAGAAATAGTCCTAGGATAGGTCACTATTCTGCTACTATTCTTTGCTATTTAATGTTCTTCAGACTACTGCACAAATAGGTGAAACAGCTCCTTTTTGTGAGCAAATAAAATGATAGGGATGTAAATTAATCTATGGGCTCACAGAAAGCATCTTCGGAAGAACTACAATGGCATTCAGGATGATGGGGATCCTATACCCCTCATCCTACTGCCATGTAGTTTTGAAGTCTTTGTCATGACAACTTTTGACAACTTTTTTATTCCACAAAGCTTGGCGATTATGAGCTCTTGATATGGTGTTACCATGCCTATGAAAATATTGTTCTTAAAATTTTCTGGATGAATGTTATGTCTGGGCAATTGTGGGCAACTGTTTTATTTGTGATTGCACTCCTATTTTTAGTACAATTCATTTGTTAAATTCCAGAGGATGTTTTTGAGGGCTGTATTTTTAATGAACAGATTTGTTGTTTCTTAATCTATAAAAGATAGTGAGCTTTTAATATACAATTCCTGCCAGCTAGATGGGCCCTGCTAGCCAGGTGAGTCCAGCTAGATATGCAATAGATTTGCTAGATTCATACCATCAGCCTCAAAAAAGACTACAAAATTTGAGTCTGTGAGCTCTTCAGAATCATTTGAGTTATTAGCATTATTTTTGACATTTGTTTTGGAAATAGGCAAAAATTTTGGAGTTTATACTAAATAAAGATTTCCAATGAACTCAGATTTTTAAATTTTTCCTTCTTCAGATTTTAAATTGATCCTTATAATGATAAGGTGAACCCTAAAGCTCATATGTTAAATGAATCAAAGACACAATCCTAAGAAATCAGAAATCTTCAGGAAGATACGTAAGTCTAAACTCATCGTATAGCTTCCTTTTATTATGATATACACTGGGCCCCACTGACACCACTAAAATTTCAACTGAAGTTTCTAAAACAAATTTCTCTTGATTAATTAGGCAGCTCAGGATTAGACTTTGATGAAAAGTCAACCTGTAGTGTTATATAAACATTTCTCTACAAAAGGGCCAGTTTTTTACCCAATTAATTTTTTTCAAACTTTTGCACATAAAATCACTGATTTTAGTAGCAAGTTTTTAGAGAATAATCTTCCTTCTCTAGAATTAGACAAGTATTGAACTTCACAGATTCTGAAACATGATTGAGTGAAGGATTCAGCTGAATTCATATATACTCCATTGTCCTTCACCTTGCAGAAGGACTAGAGAATTTCCCTAGGAAAAAGGAGGGTGTAACTATAAAGTTAGCACCTGGTAATTTACAATGAACTTGAATGTTTTTATGTGATCGGCACCTTTTTCCTCTCCAGTGGGTTGGAATTCCTAATGACCACTGGGGGCTCCTTTCAGTTAACCACCTGCTCCATTTAACATAATGCCTGAAATAAATTATAGACGCTTAGGAAGCTAAAAGGGATTATTGTGTATCTAGTCTTACCCCCTCATTTTAATTTTTTTGTCAACATGCTTTTAAGGTACAGGATTCCTACTCATTTAAGAATTCTCATTAGACAGAATATTAAACTATGTGATTAATATTTTAAAAAATAATGTAACTTTTCCTTCCACCAAAAAATGTCATTTTTTGTGTATTTTTCTGTAATAATTCCTTCTCTATATCAGTGGTAGTATTTCTCTTTTAAGAGTTTTATTGATGACTTCTTTTGTTGGTCTTTTTTTAAAGTTCACAGTAATTTGATAATTTCCTGATACAATCTCTCTCTCCCTATAGAAACTACCTTTTTAAGTAAAAAGAAATGTGAAGTAAAATCTATCTATGCAGAACTAATGCTTACAGTGTATACTCACAATAAGAAGAGAGAAATGTTTTTCATTTTATACAGGGAAGCTGACATTTATTGATATATTTTATACCCTTTTGTTTTACTAGAGCTATTTATTATGTGATGATTTCCTTTGCTGATTCTGTGGAGTTTTCCAAGTAATCATCATATCATGTGTAAATAAAATACATCTCTTGTTTTATATATACATATATATGTATGTATGTATGTATGTATGTATGTATGTATGTATGTATATAGCTAGTATGGTATTACTGTGTTTAGGGGAATTTCCTTGCTTTACCCTTTATGTCTGATAAAAAAGCTTTCATTTTTTCTGGTGCAAATAATGCTAGTTTTTAGTTTTATACATACACTCTCTCTCTCTTTCTCTCTCACACACACACACACACACACACACTTTTGATAGCATTAAAAGGAGTTCCTCTATGACTGTGATTTTATTGTTTTTAACACAAATACATGCTACATTTTATCAAAGACATTTTCTAAATCCATTAGTAGAATTGTGTATCTTATTGGTTTTGTTATTTATATTATTAATTTTGTGAATTATTTCTCAAATTATTGAGAATTTTTGCATGTCCAGCATAAATTCAGCATGGTTGTAATGAATAATATTTTGGATCTGTTATGGTAGTCTTTTTTCCTCAAACTTTATTTAAAAATTTTCCATTGATATTCATTAGTAAAATCCCTTCCTAGGTAGAGCACCAAACCATGGCACATAATTGAAGATCATACATATAAATAAGAATTATTTTCCTTCACATGTTAAAAAAAATCTTATGGCTATAATATTTGTTATTTGATATTAAAGTTCTGAAGCTTGATCACTACATTTCTTGGTGAGTTGCACTTTGTTAATCTCTTTATTAATGTCTTCTGGATCCTACCAAGGTGCTCTTTGCCTCTGCTTATAAAGCTTTTGAGGAAACTTCTCTTTTTTCTGAGAAATTTACCTTGTCCATTTTATGTAATTGATGTATACTCCCTATATAGGAAGTATACATCAATTACATAAAATGTACTGTCAAATTTACTTCCAATTCTATTCTTTGGAACTCAAGTTCTTTCATTCACTTGCTCAGAGAGTCTTTGATTTGAAACATAATGTCTGTTAAATATCCTAAATAATCTTTTCTCTTGATTCTCTTTTATTTTTCTTTCATACCTCAGATTTTCTTCCTTTTTGTTCCATTCCAATTTCTTCTTTTATTCTCTTTGAAAGCATTCTTTAATGTTTTGCCATTGCTCAGACATTTCTGTGGTTCCCCTTAAATTTATTGCCCTGATTTATTTTTCAGCAGAAGTTGTTCATTCATTATTCTTCTTTATGTAGCATATACACTATTTTTCAAAATTTTATTTGCTCATTTTCCTTTCTTCTTGGGTCTTATTGGCTTATTTAAGTAGGTACATACTTGCTCTCTTCTCCTTCCCTTCCTTTCCAGATATCATTGTACTAGATCCCACACTATTGGATTCTTCCTCCATTCACTGTCACACATTTTCTGTTGATGAGACCACCAAACCTGAATGACCTAAATTACCTCCCTATATTAAGGAGTGGGAGTGACGAGTCTTGTTTGATCTTTGTCATATAGAAATTGCAAAGAGAAAGTACCTCAGATGAGTTTATATCCCTTCTATTCTATTCATTTTTTAGAGTCCCTTCCTCTCTATATTAGGTAACATTTTAACTCTGTTTTTTCTTGCTTCTCACTCATCAACAGTTGCCAATTTTGTCCATTCCTGGGGTTAGATACCTTGTAGGGATACCTCACTTGCATTAGGTTACCACTCAAAAGAAATATCAAGAAAACAGGACAGATGCCATAAAAAACCAAACCTCAAAATCTGGATTGGAGAACTCATCAGCATTAGTCCACACTATTCATAGCTGTAGGAGTGTGGAAAGTGTTTCTTCTATTTCATGATTTTTTTTATTAATTTGTTTGGTATATATCTTCTTTTTATTTTTGAGGTAATAAGAGTAGAAGCTAGATTATGAAACAACTCTTACTCTACCATCTTACCACAAATCTAACACTTTCATTTTATAAATGAAAAGCTAGGGCTTAGAGAAGTGAAACTACTTGAAAATCAGAAAATTAGGACTAAAATACAAGTCTCTTGTCTCCCAGGGGAATCCTTTTTTTTTTTTTTTACTATGTCATGCTACCTCTCTACCTTAAATTATGTATTAATATAGAAAAACCATCAAAATCTAAAGAATCAATCTTCTTGAGGCCTAAAGATATTTGAAGAACTCTATTAGCACCTCTGGGACTAATTCATTACACAAAGTGGCAACACAATTCAAACATTTTCCAAATTGCACATGTGTTTCATGATGGTGGCAAGGTTGGTTTGCTTTGGGTTTTTTTTTTTTTGCCACCTATAAACTTTAGATTCTAACATCTTAAGGTCAATACTCTTGCACTATGGGTTTTGATGCCAGGAAAAAAAAAACAGAAATGGTCAGGAGTCAGACAGAATATTAATTCCAGTAGTTGTGAGAGTACTAACATATAAAATTATGGCATAGTAAATATCAGTGATACTTTTCCTATATCCTCTTTCCTTTTTATCTGTTTCTTTTCCTGCATTGGTCCCTTTTCAATGCTATCATTATACCATGTTTCATTCCTCATTTCCTCACCACAAAATAATGCTAATCAGTCTTAATTATAAAAAATAAGTGACTCCAGCATATAGCTTAGTATCTAGTTGGAAGGAAGGGGGGAACAGACAATAGTACATTTCTTTTATTATTCTTCCTGAACTACTTCTAGTGGGGTTGGTAGAAGTGGGATGATAGCCCCACTATAAAGATATAAAAGTTTACTGCTGTTCAGCAAATATCTACAAGTATGTCCCCAAATAGATAAAACCCAAACTTACCCAGAAGACAAATTAGAAGAGGGGTATAGAAAGGGTTTTTTTTGTTGTTGTTGTTAAGTCAAAACACAATATAATCAATCATCAGGATGTGATCTCAAAAAATAATCATTGGGACAAAGCATTTAAAAATATATTTAAAATAGTAATAATAAGATATACAATACATTTCATGAATAATACGGAACATAGTGGAAGGGGGGAAAAGGCTCCAGTTTTTATCATCCAGAAAAAATAGAATGAAAGAGAAAGGAAAGCAGCAAAGCAAGGAAAATGTCCCTTACCCTTAAATTAAAAAAAAAAGACTAGATAAGACTATGCTAAGAAGATCCTACTTCATCTAAGACACAGAGAGGAAGGCTGGAGCCAGGAATTGTGGCAGATGGTGAGTTATAATACCGGCCACCCCACCCAAAACTATAGCAGTAGCAACATCAGACTACTGAAGGGACAGGCCCCATTCAAGAGTATAGAAGAAAAAGAACCTGACCATGGTACAAAGTTCCAATCCAGGAATCAAAGCTGAGTTTATAAGTAAAAGGAATAAAACCACAATCACAATGAAGAAACATCATTGATTAACAGAAATCCAAGAAATAAACTCAGTAGAAGAGACAACTTCATAACAAGCATGAGTACAGCCTCAGAAAAATAGAATGGATTGTTCACAAAGACTCCAAAGCTGGCCAAAAATGAAGCTAAAGATAAAAAATTTTAATTAGAATGTCTAAGGAGAAAAATAAAAAGAGAAAAAACAGAAGGTAGAGGACTTTTACCAAGCAGAAGCCTCTCTGAAATAAAAGGAATGAACAGAACTCAATGCTTCCATGAAAAAAAAAAAAGAACAAAATCAAAAGCTAAAAAAATGAAAAGAATACATATATTATCTACTATCAAAAACAAAGAGACTATAAAACAGGTCAAGGAAATATAAGTTAAAAATCATTGAATTCCCTGAAAATAATGACAAAACCCTTAAGTATCATATTTAAATAAGTTATAGAACTATCCAGATCCATTAGAAAGGGCAAAATAAAAACAGAAAAACAGTACCTGTCCTCTGAAAGAAACCTCCTCCCCACCTAGCTTTCTTTTAATGAAAACAACTAGAAATAACATAGACAAAATCCAGAGCTTCCGTGTCAGTTGCAAAAATACTGTTCTAATACCAACCACCAAGGAACCACAGTCAGGATCATATAAAACATCCATTGTAAATGAAGAATGTGACATGTATGTTCAGACATGACTGATGTATGAATTTGTTCTGCTTTACTGTACCAATTTGATACAACAAAGAACTTGTATTTGGGCATAGCTGGATGTTGGAAGTGGGTAGTGATGGTGAAGCCAAAGAAAAAAGAAAAGAGCATCAGAGAAACATTTTAAAAACACAGAGAAAAAAAAAAGAAAGTTTAGAAGGGGACATAGAGACAGTGTTGGTCCCAATATATTGAATTAAAATGTACTTTTAAGAAAGCTATACATAATGAGAATTCATATTTTCATATTCAAATAGTTGGATAGTCATGACCAATACTTAAAATTACAGAAAACTTGCTGTGAACTGGCTTGAAGAAATGAATCCAAGGGCCCAATATGTTTCACATGCTATACATTCATTACTTGCTAATTACAGTATCATTTTTGGTTTTGCAAATTTTAATTTTAAACAATGAGCTTTAAATGTGCATTTGAAATATTAACAATATACTTAGTACTTTCAAAGGTATAAAATGTTTTCATCTTAACAACACTATGAGGTATGTAGGGTAAACATTGTTTTTAGCTGGGATAGTCTCTTGAATAATATTCTGTGTTTAATTTAGAAATATATTTGTGAATACACAAGAATGCAGTGTGAGTTCCATAAGGCTAATCACATGAAATCAGGTGTGTTACATATACAAAATATTACTTCTGAAATTAAATCCACCCTAATCCTTCTGCTACTGGTCAAAACTGGGCATTAAAAACAGTTGGCTAGTAATTCCTGTTACATCCCATTACCTGTATAACCTTGTATAAGTCACTTCCCTTCTCTAGGCATTCATTTTCTCACTTATGTGTAAATAAGAAAGTTAGTCTAAATTGTGTCTAAGATCCCTTCTCCCTATGAATTCTGTGATCTGGAGTTACATTGCAGTTTTACTTAACTATAACTTTGTAAAAATAGCATATGCTGCATTAGAGTGCTCTCATTTGTAATTTTTCTCATATAGCTTGTTAAGAAGTTCAGATTATTCATGGAAATATTACGGCCCCATTAACTTCCCATTCTTTTAACTGAAGAAGCAAAAACAATGAAATAGGATTTCTTGAAAATCAAAACATCACACTCTGCTGATCACCATTACATATATATAAAGTATGGGCTATTGGATCTAGAGTGGGGAGGGATCTGAAATGCCATCTAGTTCATTTTACAGAGAATGAAACTAAGGTTGATGAAAAAAAATGAGTTGTCCCACATTGCATGGGTAAGTGGGAGAACGTGGATTTGAACACAGATTCTAGGACTATAAATCTAGTATTTTTCCCCCCCTGCAACATGCTACCTCTCCTAAATGTAGCAGAAGCTACTTATCCCATCAGGCCTTGATTTTATGCATACAATGCTCATATGTGTTCCTATACCCCAAGCTAGCCTGGGTGAGAACCTCATATCTTAGTTGCAGAATGCTCATTTTCAACGTAAGCACACAGCTTCATTTGCTAAGTGATCTTTCATCATATCCGTAGAAGACAGACCTTGTAAGGATGACACTAAACTGCAGCCCACTGGAACTCAAATAAAGAAGATTCGTGCTTCTATGTGTCCACTAGCTTGCTGTCCTTGATCAAAAATTACCTCTATTACCCATCACGTTGTTAGTGGCTAAAACTTACCATTTAAATGGTAAGCTGCAACATCTAAATGGAACTGCATATGTGATCTTTGTCACCTCATTTTCATGAATGGAAAAGAATATTCTGACACAAAAATTACATACTTAATTCTAGCTCACCTTCTCCGCTGACCCCCATCCCACACTGCCTTGGGTTTATTTCCTCATCCATCAATGGGTCAAAGTAATTTCTGCTGTATTCATTTCCTGTGGAAAGTACATGAAGGAAGGGTCAGTGATTATTAGAAGCACATGAACCAAAATGTTAATTTTGAAATCGACACCACCACAGAAGGGCCATTTTACCTACTTTATAAGCTTAATTTTTTTTACAAGTCTTCCAAGCCTCCTAGTTTTGTAATTATCATCTTGCAAAAGGTCAAAAAAGGTAATTCTGGAAACAAGTTCACTCTATCTTACTGTTGCTGAGAAATTAATGAGAAAATTATCAAATGTAGATGTTATAAGAAAAAAAAACTAAGCCAAATTATTTTCAAGACATACTGTAGGAATGAACATTACCAGATTGTTAGGTGGGATAGAGTTCATCACTGGCCCTCTCTTTCCTTTCCTCTACACCACTGGGGATATTGTAGTGCCCAATCAGAATTCTGTAGTGAAATGAGGAGGTGCTATATCATGGGGATGGGAGAGGTCCTATTTTTAAATAGTTTAAATTTACAGAGTACAAATGGGAGGTGACAGAATGAAACTTGTTCGGATAAGTCATTCCCACTGTTTCTCTTTAAACAATATGAAGTGGAGATATAAATTGTTTGATTACTTTGACTAATCAGACTAACACAGTACAAAATGCAAAACAAATCCCCTTTTCTTTGTTGCTCTATATTTCCCTATCTTCATGACAAAAATGCATCTCACAGGATACATTTTGTAAAGGAATAACTTCCTTGTCATACATTTGCCAACACTAATTCCAGACTTCTACAGGTAGAAATAAATGCATTCCTGTGACTTGTGTTTTGCATTCAAGTAAAATGTACCTGATTCTGATTGCAACTCAAATAGCCAAGTGCCACAAGACAAGCTAAGCACTGGAGACTTGTGATAACAGTATCTCTGCAAATGTTAAGCCCAGGAAAGGGTTAATGTGTCCTAGTCCCACTGTTATATTCCACAGTATATTTGTTTTAGGATCAAAAATAATCCAAACGGCAGCTCCTTTTCAAAGGCTAAATGAAACTTTGATATGAAACTAGGTTTAATTTATATTTTTGGACGGGCACATTTTTGCTGTCAGTCTCTATTCTATCAATGTAGTAAGTACAAGAACTGAAAATCTGCTTTACCTTGAGGTCTCAATAAAGAAAAAATAAATGAGTTTCATTTTTGTTACTTTATCTGTCAACAACTACTAGGCTGGTATGAATCTTGGCAGGATGTAATCAAAGTCTTATGTATTGCAATAACACTGCTATTCTGCCTTATTCACTGTAATTGTTTTTCATCTACCACAAAAGCATGGTGATACACTAAGTACACTCTTTCATATGCTGGGAAAATAATTCACCATTATGTGCATTAAGGCAAAAATGACAGTGAACGTCTTTATTCACTCGCAATGCCACATGCAGTCAATTGCTAAAAAGTGGGCCCTCAAACACTATGGAAATACCAGAGCATACACCAATTCTTTGCAACCCTCCAAGAGACCTGTTATCTCCCGGATGTGGGTATTCTTCCAACAATGCAGATCAAAAACCATGTATTCCAGACCATTTCCTCATCTGTAAAAGGAGGAGATTGGACTAAATTACTTCTAAGTGCCTTGTTAAGTTCTAAATCTAGGACCCTATAATCCCATGGGATTCTCATCAATATCCTCTCATAAGTTTGGAACAGGATCCGTGCAGTTTATTAAGGATCTTCCTCAAATTATTTTGACATCATGAGGATACCAATGAAGCAGGCACACATTATCCCTGTATAAGTGTCCATTATTCAGATTTATTCAATCATGGTAGAGAGAGGCAAATCACACTTCTTAATGATATTTATATTTAGCTATTCAAGTCCCCATCCTCCTTTCTCTTCTAATGTACTAACTTTAAAAGAGGTGAAAATATAGCTTAATTCCATTTTCATTGGCCGTACCAGATGTACGTATGGCACTCTATCATTTATTCCTACTGTGGTACATGCCTACCCCATTATATTTTTTGATCATACATATCTTAAAAAAAAACCAAAGAAATAGGATGGACTAGATGGCTTCTGAGGCTCCTTAAATTCTCAAAGTCTGTAATTGTTCAGGCCTTTACACTATTTCTCCAACACAGTGTTTTGTCTGTAATGTCACATCATGCTAACCCTCTCTGTTGCCCTTTCTTTGACTCTCGACTTCCGTTCCACAAATTCATATCCAGCACTGAGCACAGTGCCTAGCATACAGTAGGCACTTAATGACTAATGCTTACTGACTGAGTGACTGATGTCTCATTGTGACATGGAGGTAAGCCAAATTCTTTTCATCATGAAGGAAAGGGTAAGATAATAAAGACAATCTAGTTAGTGTCTAAATTATGCATTATATCATTTGAAACGTGGGGAGCTTATTTTGATCCATGAGCCAAAAATTACACTTCCAATTTTATTTTCACTTAAGAAATGAATGTTGATGATATATTTCATAGAGTCAACCAAAAAGAACAGAGCCCAAGACTCCTCATAAAAACATAAAACTCAGATTCCACAGAATTCCTCATCAAGTTTCACTTTTTTCTCCTCCTACAAAGATATCAAATTAGACTCAATTATACCAAAATAGATTAATGTAATTGGAAACATGATCAGAAATCATCTCATTCAAACTCCTACCTAATGCATCAATCTCCTTTATAACATAAAGCCTCTTCTTAAACATATCTCTCATTGAAGTTCATTTTTATTTTATAAAGCAACCCATTGACATGTCAGACAATTCTAATTGTTAGAAAATCCTTCCATATGTTGTGTCAAGATATGCCCCCCTCACTATAATTTCTAAACCACTGGTAATTTTGTCTTATAAGAGTTACATAGATTACATCTAAATGCCCTCCTACATGACAGACCTTAGCATACTAGAAGACAACTATCACCTAACTTCTCTTGTGTAATTAAAAACCTTTTAAGACGTAATTTTTAGGTCCTTTGACATCTTGTTTGCCACACTATGGATGCATTACATATCCCACTTGTTATTGTCTTTCTTGCATTGTACTACTGAGAACTGAATCAGAGTTGTTGCCACAAAGCACAGTAGAACTATTATCTTGAATGGTTTTAACACTAGGCTTTTCTTAATGCAACCAAATATTTAATTAGCTTTTTTGTAAGTTCAGATTGAAATGGCAATTAAGTAAAATTCCTTTCTTTTTTTCACATCTACTACAATTCATATATATTTCCTCCAACTTGTACTTGCACAGTTGATTTTCAAAACCTAATGTAAGAGAGAGGTATGAGGGAGAGACAGAGACACAGAGAGACAGAGACACAGAGAAAGACAGAGATCACAAAAGGGAACATTTATTAAACATTTACTATGTGTGAGGCATTATGATAAGTGCTTGGAATACTAATACAAGCAAGATAGCCCCTGCCCTCAAGCAGTTTCCATTCTAATGTATGTATGTATGTATGTATGTATCAGGGAATGGGAGGAAATATCATATGGAAATGGCCTAAAAGTGACATAGAGGTATAGTTCCAGGAAAGATAAGATGGACACTTACAAATATTTACTTATGAGACCCTGAAGGGACCAAAGCAAAGAGTTCAAGGAAGGAAGGAGGCAGGAAGAAGATGAAGATAATCTCCCAAGAGGCTAAGGATTTATTCAGCATAGTGGGCCCTGAACTTGGAATCAGGAAGACAAACTCAAATATTGCCTTCAGATACTTATTAGCTGCATGACCCTGGAAAAATCATTTAATAATAGCTAGCATTTTTGCACTCATTATATGCCAGGTACTGTGCTGTGTACTGTATAAATATTACCTCATTTGATCCTCCCAACAAATCTGTGAGGTAGATGCAATTATTAATTATATAGAATATCTTATTATACTTAACCTCTGGGCCTCAGTTTCTTCATCTGTAATATTATAGGGTAGGAAATAATGACCCCTAATATACCTTCCAGTTTTAAATCTATAATCCTATGAACCCAAGTCTTCTTATGAGGACAATTGTATCTATTATAACATGCTTCCATACTAAAATAATTTTATAATATTTAAGTCATATATACTAATATTTAAAACTCTTATAAATTGTGGGAGAACCCAGCGTAAAACAATCCAATGATACCAGATTCTAACAGATATAGTTTATACTAATACTTTTTTGAAAGCTAAAGTATGCACAGTATAAGGAGTGGTTGGGGAAGAAAGAAGTATACAAAGGCATTATATGTTTTAAACTGTTGCACTTCATTACAAATCATGATCCATTTTTTCCAGGTTTTAAAAAGTAGTATAATTTCAGGAAATGGAGCATATTGCCAAAAGGTATTTTGTTAATAAGATGAATTCCTGAAGAGTGTACTAGTTATTCAAAATATGCTTTTGGAAATATTTTAAAATATCTCACATTAAAATTAACAGATCCACTGAGAAATTCAAAGTAGGTCATTTAATAATATAAACATAGAGGGTCTTAACATGTTGTTATTTAACTATAATATTCAGATGTTTTGGAGGACAACTTTGTACAGATGACAATATGTACTTAAATGGAATTTGCTTAATCCAAGATGTTCATGTGTCTAACCCAAATATTTGCTTTTCTTGTTTTGTTGTTGTTTTTTGATTTCCAGCTTTCTACTTTCAGCTATTGCATTTAAAAAAAAAATATTGTTATATCCTGGTTGCTCGTTTTCACTGAGTTCAAAAAAGGAAACTTATTTACTATCTTTCTGCCCCTCAACATCTATCAGATTTTTTCTCTAATTTAATTCAGAGGAAGCACAAAGCATAATCACCTCTCTTATTTATATTACAGTATGTATCCACTTTGGTAGAGCAAATCTCAGGTGCATTATAAATCCTTTGAGATTCTAAGAGTGAAAAAAAAGAGATTCTAAGAGTGAAATTGTTTAAGGAGGGGCAGACTTGACTCAAACAGCTACTTTCTTCCTTTCACTATCCATGAACACACTGGCCAAAAGGAAGAGGCTGAACATATCTCATTCATTGTGGGTT